ACATCAAAACAGTGCAAAACAGTGTCAAACAGTGTCACAACAGTGTACTCTACAGTAAAATCAAATTTATTTCCTTAATTTATGTGAAATCAAAGTGTGAAGTTTATTTAGGACCGGAGGGAGTATGAATTAAAACATCATCACTACAATGACTCAATTTTCCAGCGAGCACCCCATTTAAAAAATTACTCCCTCCGTCCCGAATTGAATTGTAAACTTTGACCGGCACAAGGATTAAGAAAAGACAATAAATGATGCTTGCTTTTTACACTTTTGCCCATCTTTTTAAAAGTAGATGCCTTTAAGTTAATGGGGAAAAAGTAAAAGTAAGGGTAAATTTGTCACTTTATTCTTATTTACATACCTAAAATAGAAAGTGGAAAACCATTTTGGGACAATCTAAAAAGGAAATTTTGCAAATCAAATTGGGACGGAGGGAGTAAATCATTGCGGTAATGACATCTTAGTTACATGATTCATGAATAAAGGATTCATATGGGGTTCTCTGATTTTTTGAATCGTTTATCCTATTCTTTGTTTTTATTTACTCCCTCTATTCCGAAATAATTGTCCTGCTTTCATTTTCAGTCCATCCCGAAATAATGTCTCATTTCCTTATTTGGTAAACAACTCTATACAAAACAGTGTCAAACACTGCACAATAGTGTCAAACAGTGCCAAACAGTGTCGCTACAGTGTGAAGTCAACTTTGTTTTCTTAATCTGTGTGAAGGTCAAAACAGGACGATTATTTCGGGACGGAGGGAGTAGTATTTAAGGTACCTCATACAGGGTATTATAACTTGAAAAAATAATTACGCATATATGACTAGAAAAAAGTTGATTATTTACAAAAATGTGACTAATTACTAGAATAGTAATGGAAACATAGTAATTTACGTTCAATTTTTAAACTTAAATTACCATGACAATACACTGTAGTAACTATTAGTCATATTCATGTAAATATGTTTTATTTTAGTAACAGTTTTGAAAAAAAACTTATGACTTTTTCTTTATATAGTGTTTTACAAATATATTTATATGTTATTTTAATATTAAGTGTTTTTTGTATAGGACCCCGACATGCCGAAAGACATTATAAGTTATACTATACTTAAAGTGGTACTTTTTTAGCATAAAGATTTAAGGGGGTGTTTGGACCTGTTTCTTAAAACTGCTTCTGCTCCTTCAGGGAGCAGAAACAGAAGTTGGAGTGTTTGGGTGAAATTAAAGTGTAGAAGTGATTATGGTGCTCTAATTTACTCCTAGAATCAGTTTTTTTAGAAGCTGAGGGTGACCAGCTTCTGAAAACTTATTCTGATTCTGTTTCTGCTTTAAAAAGATGCAGAAACAGAATCAATTCCAAACACTCCTAAGTGATGTAATGAAAATAACATAATGATCTATATCAACCTTTTGTCTATAACCATTCACGTTTTGTTTTGAAAAGTAAAACTGTATCGTATATGTTTCAATCTTGTTTATTAGACAATTTTCTTATTTTTGTGTATAGAAGAGGAGGGTTACATTGATATCACACCATATACATTCAGAAAGGGTTAAAACAATATAAAGACCACCACCATCTATCAGTCATCGAATCAGACTTGGAGTTAATTACTTTCGAAGAAGAAATATAACTCACTTTATATACACAATTACACATACTATGAATGATAAGAACAAATTAGCTTGAACGTAAAGTATGATCGACATCCATTCATAAATCGCATTTTTTACACTTACGAAACGTGTAATAATCTGTCTGCGCCGAGATTAATAATTAATAACTTGGTTTAAAAGCATAAATGATGACCGAGTATGAATGTATGATCACTGTTCATGCATGCCGGTAAAAGTACTCATTCATGTTCGCATTGCTTATTTGCTTATGATTACTTAAAAGTATTCAAATATTAATCTCGGTTTAGGAGAGAGAAATTAAAATCTTGGATTAAAGTCATCTTTAGACGAGATCAATAAAAACAAATTGATGAAATATGTTTATCAGTTATATGAACTCCTTAAACTAATTAGCTTTTAATTTATGGAATAGTGTTTGGTAACCCCGCAATTGACTGACTTGGCTAAATATGCTGAAATATGTAAAATTCTTGGACAAATGGCTGAATATACGAAATCTATTGAATTATTGAAAAAATATATTTAAAATATGTTTTACTAATAAAATAAAGAAAGTTACGTGAAAATAGCTAAAATTGTCATCTAAACTACTTCAACCAATTCAATCAGAAAAGTATTTCCAAGCTTAGTTAATTATTTGGTTATTAAACAATTCAGCGCTTTAGTATTTAGTAAAGAGTTTACTCATAACTTGAAAATAGAAGTTACGACAACATTGGAATTGATTGAATTTGTCGAAATTACTGTGAAACTTTGTTTGAAAAGGTTGAAGTGACGAATATCTTGAATTATAATAAATTGTTGTTTAAAATAGTTTTACAAATTAAATAAATAAGAAGTAATATGGAAAAACAAGATAAATGTTCACTAAAATCAAACAACTGAATCAGAAAATCAACTACAAATTTTATTTATTTATTACATAATATAACGCGTTAAACAAAAACTTTAGTGTTTGATAAAATATCAATAAACTCAATAAGCAAGATAAGCCTAAATTAAAGAACTTATTGTTCATACGCCTTGGTGGCTAGGACCTACTTATTTTAATACGCCGATGACCTTTACCGGCCTTTCGATCTTCAAAAAAACTTTTTGTACACACTATTACTTTTATACACATTTACACATTACTTGGTTTTTTTTATCTGTCACAAACTGTACAAATGTGTAAACTGTAAAATATGTACAACAAAGAATTGTTGTTACAATCTTTCATAGCTCATTGTAGACTGCTATATTTACATGCATATTATTGCAGTCGTTAATTGAATGCAGTGGCGGAATAAAAAATCTATGGTTCTGAGGCTCGAGCTTTGAGAATTTTACATTGTGGAGGTCAAAGTTTAAAATATCAACATATTGTCTCTAGATTCAAAGTATTTATACATAATATATACTTAAGTATTTTTTTCTTGCAAGGGACAAGGTCCCATCCTGCCCCTCCCTATCTCCACCTCTGATTGAATGGTTTTACTTATGCAGTTATGCTACGTAGTAAAATATAAATTGACCTATATAACTCTAATTAATAATGAAATCTAATAAGATGATAGCTTATGTTGGTCACATGGCATTTTCATCACAAGATAATCACATTTGCTTTGCCATCAAGACTGTTTTCTAATCACATTAAAAGATTATTACGTTACAAAGTTAGAATCCATCCAATAAGAAAATAAAACTTCAATGCCATCATAACAGGGAATCCTAAAAATATAATCCACAAATCATGCACATAAATCTCAATAATCATCATTCAACTTAAAAATATTTGGAAACATAAAAGCTTCTTTAATTAATTTGCTTGGGAGATTTATTTAGTAAGGATGAGAATATTTATTGATTTTTAAATAAATTACTTCAAGAACATTCAATTTCGAACTATGTAAATAAGTAAGTAAATATAAAACAAACTTCTAACAATTATCTAAATAAGTAAATAAGAATCGTGCATCCCTTTTAGTTTTAAAGGAAGGTTTTTTCTTTAACATTTTCTATATAGATAAGAATTACATTTTACTCCGTATTAACAGATTATTTTCTTGGGGTATTTAAATTAAGTAGATTTGCAATTTTTTCCCCGAAACATTCAACTGTTTTCGGGCTCCTGTACCCTACATCCGGGTGTAGGCACATCCAGCTAACCTGAGGAAGACAACCCATTAACAAATACAATCCAGTTTTTTTCGGTGGCATTTTTATAATTGAAGCAAAATATCACGGCTTCAACTAAATAAGCATTAGTGTACTTTTAGTGAGCATCTGATCTATTCTTTTGATCTATTCTGATCTATTTATTGAATATGCGAATTTAATGTAATATGATAATTTTTGAATATGCATCGATATGACATAGAAGGTCGAGGGCGCCGGCCTGCTAATTTCCGATTTAATCTTCCCTTGATATCAATCGGAGTGAACTTTGCTCAATCATCATAAGATGATCAAATAAGACCACCTTATAAATTAAACTAGGATGGAGAACTGGGTAGCAATTGGTTGTAACTTAAGTTGGGCTTCTAATATAAGTTCTAACATTTTTCGTTTCATTCATAAAGCGAACTGGATAGCTAGTAATAACAATAATGTCGTTGACTTGAGAGAGCGGGCATATATGCTTGTACTTTACTGTTGAATCATTGTACGTATTGGCCGGAGCTGTGAGTGCGTGAAGTTTCCGAACTGTTCCCAAAGCCAGTTATCAGCAAGCAATAGATTTGTTGTTTGTGAGAATGGCAACACATTATTGTTGTTATCAAGTTTGTAGTCTGAATTCGAAGTGACGCAGTGGTTTTTGCATGTTTTTTTAATAAACTGCACGTCAGGAATATTGTTGACAAATACAGAAGATGTCCGACCAGTAGTCATGTCATTTTATTTTGAAGAAATGACATTCCCATTTCAAATCTAAAAAACCCCTACCATTGCCCGTATACGGAGTATAACATACGGAGTAATTTCAACTTTCGCAATAGTCTGGACGATCGAAACTTGTAGCGATATTGTGGATGTTATAGTTCTTGTGCCTTACATTTGGTTGGGTCACTGGTGCGTACAATATCCTGAGTACAATATCAACCATCTTTAGATTGACTGAGTCGCTATGACTTACAACATCCTGAATGTTTTGTCAGGATAAGGTGTGGGAGCCCTTGAGTTGGAGATTATTCAATCTTTTTTGGAACATATTAAATAATTTGATAAATTCAATTAACTCAATAAATCTCCACCCACATGCTTTACGCCCTGACTTGACAGAATAGTAAAGGAATAAATCATACGTCGTGGTATAATATCAATTGGTTTGGAGTGAATTGATTCAATCAGTTTGTTGGATGCCTAACAACTTTGGCCAAGTTTTTTTGAAAGGAGAAGACTTATTTATTATTAATAATGAGAGTAACAAGAGATGAAACAATACAATAGCTCAAGACTATCGAGGAGATATAGAATAGACTATGCCACTGAGAACCTGTAAAATCGCTAACCCCGCATCATGGTAGAGAATCTATCAGCATCGCTGAACTTGCTACTAAAATGGTAGATAACTAAACAAGAATCCTTTAAATAAAAACAATAAAACAATTCAAGCATCCTGGTTTTACCGGCTAGAAAGGGAGAAAAGGTTTGTCCATCAACCTCTAAAGGAAGCATCCCGATTTTATCAGCCATCAAGAAGAGAGAAGTGGTTTGACCAGTCACCTCCAAAGGAATCATCTCGTTTATGGGACCTGTCAGTATTTTAGGCGGTGTTGTTCTTGGAGCACTATCGCCTTGCAGTTTTTTGATCCCTTGCCATCAACCTCCTCCATTGACATCCAATCGTAAGTCTAATTTAAGCTCTCCATTAATAGTCAATAAAATGAACTCCAGACAAAAGTACAAACATGTTCACAATGGAACGGACCAGTCCCTTGACTAGAGAAAAACTCAGTTGTGGGACAAAACAAAATTGAGCAGAAAATCAGTCACTATCTCTTTTATTTAGGGTAGTTTTGGCTATCTCTTTTCATATTTTCTCATCGCTTGTGAATTAGCGGTAGGGATGGACTGGGAGGGGTCGGACCGGCCCGACCCGATGCAATATTGTTAAGGCCCGGCCCGACCCACTAATGTATAGGCCGGGTCCCTGCCTGGTCCCGACCCGGTGGCTATAAGGATGGGCTTCAAGCTAGTTTGATTGGGCCCGACCCGGCCAGTCCAAGGTCGATCCCGAACCCGATTGCACTATTTTTCTAATTTATTGCCCAGATCCATCCTGGAGCCCGGCCTGTTTAAGCCCGGTCCGGTCCTGATACCAACCCAAGCCGGTACCGAGCCTTAAACTTTTAGGCCCGAGCCCGCCTAATCCCGACCCAGAGCCCGACCTGACTCGGTCCCGGTCCATCCATAATTAACGGTGGCCTCCCATATTGCCTTTTGCCTGCCCAGTATAGGGCAGCCTGCGGCCCTACAGAATGTTTTTCCTTTTGATGGTGCGCCATTCAAAGTGTTTGTGTAGGTTCACACATGACAAGGCACACTTACGCCAGCACAAGAAAATGGATATTCAAGTATTGTCATTTTGAATTCAATGCAAATACGAGTATGATCGACAACTTTTTTAAAGAAATTAGTAAACTGCCTGGTCAAAAAAATACATTGTTCATATATCACATATGACTCTTTTTATCCTCTGTTAATTTCGATTACCTCAATCCTACGAGATTGCTTGACACCAATCTGCCACAAATTTAATTTATCAATTATTTCATGTCAAAGAACTTGTGTCAAAGTGTTTTTGATACGAATTTAGCATCTCCATTACAACAAAGTACAGTCTTCGTAACACATGCAAAATGTTGCAATGTGTGCTAAAATGTCACAATAAATCAAATGTAGCATTTTATCGTTTAGATGTGCTACATCCGACTGATGTTATACTCCTTAGGTCCCATATTCAGTTTACGATGCTTGATTGATGATAAAGTAACTTGATATATGTTCAACTCCGATTATTTTTAGTAAACAAAATTTACATATTTAGAAACTACATTAAAGTCGCTACAAAGCCTGATAATAAAATGTAAATTTCATAAAAATTTGATATATAAAGAAAATACCCGCACGGGTAGCTTAGTTGGTCGAGTGGTGGGAGATTTGGATCAATCAACCAAGGTTCGAATCCCCGCAGCGACCGCGTGGAGGTCACAGAACCTGGAATAAGGCTGGGCCTCTGGTGCGCACGGGTGTATGGGTCTACTGTCATTCTGCTGACTGAGTCACCGTGACTAACCTCTCCACCATACTGTTGAGTCGGGGTGGGGGGCTCACGGGGTGGGAGATTCCACCTTTTGGATCATTGATATATAAAGCAAAAAGTTAAGAATGATTTAATTTGACCATGTGAATAGTTGATGTGAACCTTTAAATGGGACGGAGAGAGTAATAAATGCGTTGTACTAAGTAGTAATTTATCGTTTTATTGTAGCATTATATTTCTTGGTACAATAATGTTACAATGGATACTATATCATAGCAATTTCTACGACGCTACAAAATGAATGCTAAAATAGACATTTTCTATACTAGTGTCTAATTTGTGAAATGAATTTAACGAATCCTTATCAAAAAATTATGTGAGTGTTTTTGTGGATGTGAGATACTATCCTCCGTCTTTTAATTCTTGCAACAGTTTGACTTTCGTGTTTGCCAACACATAACTTTGACTGTAATTATATTTAATTATGTATTAGTAAACATTATAAAAATTTGATATTTTGGAAATTCACATTGATAGGAGTTCCATAACATTTTATACATAATATTTTGATTATGTATATTAGTAGAAAATCGTGATCAAAGTAAGGTTTGTGAATAGTACAAAAATCACAATGTTGCGAGAATTAAAGAAGTGAAAGTATATATCAAACGCTATTTTCAAACATAGTACGTATGCAAATTTTACATTCTACGTTCACTTGACATCTCATACCGATTACCATGTACTACACCGCATTCCATTCACTGAACTCATGGGATTCTAATTCTTGATTTAATTTCATGAATAATTGAAGCATACTGATATTACTTTAAGAATTATCTACGAATTCGGTTGAATCGGCTAATATTGCTGAAATTATAATAGACACACTTGAACTCGTTGAATTTGCTTAAATATGAAAACTAAAGTTTCAAAACTCGTAACTTTTGATTTTCAAAGCTGAATTGTGCGATGATCAAAATAAGTAAGGTTGTAGTTAAACTAATTACTTTTGTGGCTGAATTGACTGTAATTATTGTAGAAAATGATTTAATTAATTTTTCATATAACTGTTTTTTCATCTTATTAATAAACGACGTTACATTTTTTAAAAGTACTTAAATATGGTTGATATTATCTCTCTGTTTACAATTTTTATTTCTGTCTAGATATTTCTTTGTTATTTTTTATTTTTATACTCACTCCGTCTCGAAATCAAGTTCCAGTTTGACCTACCCACATACTTATTTAAAGTAGAGTTTTATTTTGACTTTTCAAGTGTACTCTTACTTTATGTCAAATCACGCAATAAGTGAATAAAAAGTAAGAGTATTTGTGACTTTTTGGTTAAAAGTAGTTTCCTTTTTGTAGAAATGAGAACTTTTTTTATATTGATAAAAGGAAAATAATAATTTCTTTTCGGGACGGAGGTAGTATTAAGGACGACCATTAAAAGAATAAAAGGAATAGAGAGTGTGTGGAGAACAAAATCATTATGTTTTTCTATTTCAAGATACGTCACACGTATGATTGTCATCGGACAAACCCCATTTTCTAGAAAAAGACAGTTAAATACCGCATAGAATATGCTCACATGCGAAGTTCACTTAGTTTGTATATTAAAATTAAAAATGAAACTCAATCGAGAGGGAGGTGCGGTGAATTGCTAAATTGTTATGGTGTTTTAAGATGAGATTTATTTAGTGTGCACTCCATACGTAGTATATATTAAAGCATTCCGGTTTAAAACCCACAAAACCTATCTATACTTAATCTTAACAGGCTAGAAGCACAATTGAATTTCTATCTTAAAATAAGATTTTTTTTTGTATACACCACTTTGGTCGTTAATTTTATTTTCAATTGGAATTCTAAACAGATAAAATGAGTGAAAGAACCAAGCTTAAGCACACAAACACACACACACATAAGCATTACTACTGCACCGGCTCCCAAAAACTGAATTTTTAATGGACCTTCTAAAATAAATCATTCACATAACTTTTAAATGTTTCATACACAAAAATTGTTTGCAACATTGGATGGATTGGGATCAAGTTGGTCACCCCAAACCATGGGCGTAACAAGGGAGGCCCCGGTCCAACCCAAATTTCAATTTTAATTTAATTTTTAGAGTTAATGAACTCTGTAAAAAAATCAAAAAAATCCATGTACCGGCCTATCCCAATATATCGCCCTGCCCATCCCATCCCACTACCCCTAACTACATTCACAGCCAGGCGCTGAGGCGCATGCACACACTACATGGCTAAAGCAATCACTGTGCATATGAAGACAATTAGCTTTCAAGGACCATTGTTTCATAGGTCAGAGTTAAACACATGAAGTTCGTAGAGACGATTAGCTTTCAATTTTCAATATGTGCATCTCTCTATACAAACTATTAAACTAAGGCCACATTGTTTGCGTTTTGCATGTTTTGTCAATGATAATGACTGTAATTGCATATACAAAAACTTTACCTTTGTCAAGCTTGTGTGTAGTAGTAGTAGACTCTCAATCCAAACCGAGGACTGAAGCCAAGAGTAAATCTACATCGGGAGTTACAACCGCATGCGTTTCGACATCTCCCACCTTACTGCAACTCTTATCCATAGTGTTGATTGCAACGACGTCCTGAGGACATGAGATTTGTGTTCCTGGAGATACCTGCCAATTTGTTTGCCGTTATAGTTTTCATGTTTGATTATAGGCCTAATAACATAAAATAACCACAAACTTTGCATCTTTTTAAGCTCTTTTTGTTTACTTGACTTTTCTGGAAGCCGTATTTTAATTTCCTGTGTTTGGCATAGAAATACATTTTCCCCTAAAGATTTTCCAGTACTTCTCTGAACAGGATTCTTTAATCTTTCTGGAAGCCGTATTGTACTTCCCATTTTCTTGAAACTGCTTTATGTTTACTTTTTTCACGGCAACAATATGCCAAACAAAAACATTGACTAACTTACTTCACAGGATAAAAAGAAAACACTTTCCATTAGTTATTTGACTTGGACCACATGGTAAACATTTAGAGATGACTAAAAAAATTTCTAGTCATCTTTATCCGTGCAAGTTTGCAAATATCGTTGGGACAAAGTAGCTAAATAAGCTCGTAATGTGCTTTTTCTGTCACTAGGTCGTGTTAATACACAAAAAATGTAGAAACCTTAAAGTGCGTTTGGGATGACTTATTTTCAAAGAGCAAGTTCGTTATCTAGGAAGAAAAGTACATGTTATTTTAATTTTAGTGTTTGGCATGAAAATGAACAAAAAAATCTTTTTGAGCTTATTTAAGAAAGCGTAGGGTGAGAGCTTAACAAGAACTTTTAGTGATTACATGATAAAGCATTTTTTATACTAGCACTTCCAGCATAAGTCCTCCCAAACATGTTCAGAGCCTCTAAGCCCGTAAGGATGCTACTTACATCATAAAGGATGTCTCCCAGCTTCATTTTAACTGCACCACTCTTGTAAACCAACATCTTTCCCATGTGACCACTAGGCAACTCATTCAAACTGCATCCCTTATCTGTAGAGCTTCTTTGGTCAGCTGTCTGATTCTCAACTTTTTCTTTCCCCTTTGCACTGGTTGGAGCCTCAACTACCTCTTTTCCCTTTGCACTAGGTAGCTTAAATTGCACGCCCATATCCCTCCTCCTTAAAGGCAAGTTGTTTGGTAGCTGGAAAAAAATAAGTCTTGCTTCATCTCCATCCTGCAAATCGAAGTGTTACAAATGCACCAATTAACTTAAAATGCTTAATCTTGTTTAAGCGATAAAAAATAAGAGAAAAACATGAACTGTACTATTACCAGTAACCCAAGCTCTGAAGAAGCACGAATTTTACTCTCATCATATTTCATGTTTCTTGCTGCCTCTCCAAATTCTGCTTTATCAAGGATTTCTACAGGGCAGGAAAATATGGGCATTGAGAGGTAGAACAACATTGGAAATGGCATATTTGTAGTAGCAAGCTATGGAATTAACTCAAGACTAGTATGCTTTAAGGGCTTACTCTAGATCAAAGTTTGAACTTTGATGCCATTTCCCATGTTTGACGGAAATGGAAAGGCAAGAATTAGAAATGTATAATGGGTAAACATCATTCTTTAAAGAAAAACAGGTGAAAGAATGCTTTCCCTACGAGTTTCCTAAATCTGAAGACTGTTGGGAATGCGTCAAATGGTATGTAGAAGAAGAAAAGCGCTAACACAATGCTTTTTTATGTTCGGTTTTACCTTAGAAAATACTCTTTAAGATGAACTAGAATCAAACTTGATATGAAAAGTTACAGATTTGACTTATAAAGCTATCTAACTCTTTAAATAATAGAAATATATGGATAAAATGAACTATAATAAATCTTATTTCTATCTGATTTATTCCCTTGAATCTTCCTTCTTATTTTCTTTCCCTGGCACTTCCTTTATTCCAAACGGACCCTAAGGGTATGTTTTGCAAGAAGGAAGATTTGAGTCCTGGACCTTCAGCAAGCGAGCGAAAGGCTCCACTTGGTGTTTCAGGCCCTTGCGAGTTGCGCCCTTCTACCTTATAGACTAAATTTGCTTAAACAGATGAATAATATATGGGCATTAAAAGCGAACACTATTCAGTCATAATACCTGGATCTCCAGCATAAGGCCTCCTAAGAGGAAGAGTAATAGGATAGTAGCTATTGTCATAATCCTGCCATGGCATCATCAAGGTCACTATAAAAAAACCAATGGGGGGCACTTAAATATCAAATTAATTATCAATCAGGAATAGAGATTTCTTACCCAAGGCTCTCTGTACTCTCTTTTCTTCGTAGTCATGTTTTCATGATTGACAAACATGATCTTCTCACCATCAGCAGAACCATCCAATCGTGTACTACCATCAATTTTCTCATCTCCGGGAATTAGATTTGTCCTTGTCGGAGCTGATGATGCCCCTTCTTCAGGAAATACAAATTGAACTTCTGGGATTTATTTGTTAGAATTTCAAAGAATTAGTAGTTGCAAAAATTAGATAAAACATCAACCTTCTAATATGACTCATTGTCAACAATAGTCAATTAGGAATTCTTCATCAGTAGAAAGCAATGAGAAAATATGATAACATAGTACGGACAAGATACTTGCATTATCTATTTGGATGGAGAGTTTGGAGAGGAAAACTTTGAAGAGCATAGTGCAACTCCAAAATCTTCCCCACCATTCCACCAAACCCTTCCAAAACCCTACACCCAAACAGACCCTACTAGGCAAGTCTAATGACTGGTTAGGGTACTCAGAATTCTTGAACCCACATATCTTCTTTGCTAAATTCTAGCAATGTTTTGTGGTTGTAAGGAAAATTTATGTAATATTAACTGTTGCATAGACAAGGTCATAAATGTCCGAATAGACAGTGATATTTAATGAGCTCTGATTTAAAGTAATGCCATTTTAGGCTCTAATGCTTAGCATTATTCTTCTTGAACTCAATAAAACAGTAAACCAGTATGTACAGATATTACCCTTCTTTACGGTATCATTAGATTTCCGTCTACCCAGTTGCTCCTGTGAAGAACAAATCCCAGCAAGCATAGTTATCATGACTTTGCTGTTCTTAAATCATGATTTAATTTCTTACTCTCTATCACATTTACTAATAACATGGCAGTTGGCAAATTATGCACATCAAATTAAAGCATTTCATATGTAAGGATGACTCTTGTTTTCTTAAGCTGCTCTTACAGTATAGGTAAAAGAATTAAGCCGACCCCTGATTGAAGAACAGCCATACGTAGGGTGGCAATTCAGACCGGTCCATCCAAACTCGGCCAAATCTTGCTTCTATAGGTTTTTTCTTTGTTTACTCTGATTATAAAAGTATGCATCTATTTTTGGCAAACTCCAAATTCAAATTCACATTTTATTTGGAAAAAGAAAAATGATAGTAGTATTATATTAATGATATTATATTAAATGAATGAGAAAAATGATACTCACAAGGAGTTCACAAATTCACAAGGTCGAAACTCATTTCAATCAAAGATATTGATATTATATTAGAACAACTACTATAATAAATTTAAAAATACAGTAAAAAATTAAATAAGCTAACAAAAGTAAAGAATATAAGGTCAAAAGTTGCTAGAAGATGAATCTCCAATATCCCAATCATTAATAAAAGACAAGTGCTCCACACATTAACAAAAATAATGAAATATTAATATATTAAAATAACATAAAATTATACTCATTATGATCACCAACAATCAGACTATAACAACACGTCGGATTTGTAGCTCCGGCTCTTACATTGAGTCGGCGGAGAAGACGACCGCTGGGAACAACCGCATCAGATACACCTTTCAGGCTTGCTTCTCTACATTATTATATCGGAAACTTGAATTCATCAAATTACGTTCAAAAAACAACGTAACGAGTTAAGAATGCGAGGAATTGAAAGCTATGGAGTACGTTTTTAGTTCCGCATTCTTGGCTCTGCGAGGAGGTGGCTTAGGAGCAAACCTAACCTGTAAATCACGCATACCAAACAAAAGAAAACTTATATTGAACTGAGTTGCTTCAAGTTAATGAACATGATTACAGAAAAACGTAGCGGATTAGATGGATTTCAGAGTTAGACCTTTCTTGATGATGGCTGAGAAGGGGGCAATCCTGGATCCATGGAGTTCGAAAGTATTTCGAATGTAAAATTCTGCAAAATTCATTAGCCATTATCATCAAAACATCTGCAGAGGAGTCGATAAATCAAAACATATAGCATGTTGAAGATGGAGCTTGGAAAAAAATTGAAGAAAAAGATTAGTTTAAAAGACTCGAACCTGCGCTGGAGCGAGAAGAGAGAGCTAATTTCCGTCTGATCTAGGAAACATTTATGTAAATTTTCCGTAATATTTGTATATAACTATTCTAACTAATTCCCTTTCAAGTTAATAGGGAATATTGTAAACAATGTAGTTTGTGTTTGTACTATTCATATTTTGTATATTAAATTATTCTACATTAATCCTTTAAAAAATATATTCTACATTAATAATTCTTAAGTTCTAATAGAAATAGGATTAGCAACATGTCCACACAAGCTTGAAATAGAAATTAAAAATATGGATTTGACATTTCCTTAAAAGGAATAAGAATTTCTAGAACGGATATTCCGTTCAACCTTAGAATTACAAGCTCGGATAAGAAGCTCAGAAATGTGGCTAGAAAAAACCATACCAAATCCAAAGAAGCTTATTATAATCTGCCTTCAAATGCCTAAGCTTTCCTCCGATGAAGAGGACAGAGCTCATTCATCATTCCTATGGGCTATGGTTATGGTGGCTAGCTAGTTCATGTCTTCCTCAGTGCAGCTTGTCCAATAGCTAATAAATCATCTCCTTTCATCAAAGTCCAAGTCAAAGAACAAAGGTAAAAGGTGAAAAAGAAAAAAAGAAAGTGAAATACTATTTACCTGCCTGGAAGTCATTTAAACTAGTAAACTAATGATAACATATTAAAATTACCAATTGCATGACTTTGAATTGCTAAAATGCTTTCTTGGGTACTATTTTAATATTGGAGGCAAATCTTTTTCACATTAGTAACATACTGTGTACCTTATTTGACCAAATTTCTGGAGTTTGACAAATTTGAAATGTTGACATCAAGTCTGAAACTCACTATATATATTACTAGTTTTATATTGGCAAATGTAACACAAAGATTGAAGCCCAAAGAAATCAACAAATTTACCTTTTTAGGTATCTTTGTTATGTTGAATGTCATGCATATTTTTGAACTAAGTAATTTTAATGTTCTTTTTTAAAAGGGTAATGTTCACATTGGAGCATCAATCTTTCATTTAGTATACGGAGTATGTGTTTAAGGGTTTTATCTTTAACATTGCTACTTCCAGCATCAAACTTTCAAAAGCTGTTCCAAAATTGACAAATCATTAAAAAGGCTTTATTAAGGTCTAATACATATTTTCTGGCTTTAGAATATGTGATTAGAGACTTTTTGTAACACCCCCAAATTTTCCACCCAAAATAATAGTTTAAATAATTATTTATGCAAGGAAAAATGAACATTATTTGAAATACTGAAATGTTGCAGCGGAGTAACATAATTGAAAATTGAAGGTGTTACCGCCACACTTAGCGTAACTCATGCCAAGTGCACAAGCTAACAAAAGTACTAGTTCAAATATTCTAAAGTGAGGAAAATAGAGTAGTAAAGATGTCTATTACATGATCTTAAATCAAAAGTTCATAAATAGAATCTTATTACTAGTAATATCTGTAGCTAGCGCTCTCAAGAACCATAATCACGCATGTCATTATCCAAAGCATAACCATCTATACAAACAAGAAAGGAAAAGAAAACAAAAGAGACAAAAATTAGCTTTCGCTAAGTAAGCCCCACCCAACCTCGTAAAATAAGAATAGGTTTAATGAAAATAAGGTTTTGTATAATACATATAAAAATGGTTTCTTCCGGAAACACATCAGGAAATTCATTGACTTCTCGACCTTGTTCCTCATCGGACACTAGTGATGATGCGAATTCCGTCATTGAGACAAATTTAGTGTGATATTCTTGCACCGTCATTTCTCCTTGTTTCAGATGCAGGAATTTGTCATAATTTTCTGCCTGCACGTGTAGCGGGTAAAACCTCTTTCGCAGTGCTTGCTTGAATCATTCCCAAGTGAAGTCCGGTTGTGCGCGCAACCCCGGTCCCGCATTAACCCACCATTTATCTGCTTCTTCATGCAGATAATAACCAATCTGATTGCGTCAAATAGCTTGTCAAATGTGCGTATCCAATTTTCGAGAATGATTGGGTCCTCTTGCCCAAGGAAGCTCGGTGGATTTCGCGCCGCTACACGGGTTTCCATGTCATTGTCGTTACTGCGTGGTTGGTTGTTTTGGAGTACCACATTCGCAATAGTGTGGGTGAGTTGAGTAAGCAGCTGAACAGTTTGGGCCAATTCCGCATTAGTTGGCACAACATTCGGATCACGTCTTGGTGGCATAATGTCTCCATGAAAGAATAAATTTTTAGGATTAGTATATGAGATTTCCTAAAATGGTCCCTAGATATCCTAATCTAAGGATTTCACTAGGAATATATGGCCTCGTACGGCTTTTACATATTGATTTCACATTCCAAAATCTTCACACGTACCACACAAGAGGATTTACATACCTTAGCCATGAAGTTGCCTTTTGAGGCTTCCCACCATTTTGGGTTCCCATTTCACATATGGGCCCCCGTACACATATAATTTCAAATATTCATATAACAACAAATAAAACACAACAAGTAGAAGAATAACCACACAATCCTCACCGCAGCCCTATAGTCCTATTCTATTTTTCTTTCCTAGTTAGTTCAAAATAATTCAGAAATCCTTTTAAGAATAAAAATTATTTTAAGAAAAATTCTCTAAGACCAACTTGTAACATCCCCAAAATTTCCACCCAAAATAATAGTTTAAATAATTATTTATGCAAGGGAAAATGAACTTTATTTGAAATACTGAAATGTTGCAGCGGAGTAACATAATTGAAAATTGAATGTGTTACCGCCACACTTAGCGTAACTCAAGCTAAGTGCACAGGCTAACAAAAGTACTTGTTCAAATATTCTAAAGTGAGGAAAATAAAGTAGTAAAGATGTCTATTACATGATCTTAAATCAAAAGTTCATAAATAGAATCTTATTACTAGTAATATCTCTAGCTAGCTCTCTCAAGAACCATAATCACGCATATCATCATCCAAAGCATAACCATCTGTACAAACAAGAAAGGAAAAGAAAACAAAAGAGACAAAAATTAGCTTTCGCTAAGTAAGGCCCACCCAACCCCATAAAATAATAATAGGTTTAATGAAAATAAGGTTTTGTACAATACATATAAAAATGGTTTCTTTTAAGTAAAGTACTAAAAATCTCTTCTCTTGATTTCCTCAAAATCTCATTTGGAACTAAACTCTCTAGTAGATTCGAAGGGCGGTGCTCAAGATCATATTGATCCCGGTGGTCCGTTGTTATGTACGGCCACCCCGGAACTTTTGACGGTACTGACGAGCACTTTGTCACGGTGCGTCAAAATAAATTCAATACTAACACTTATATGTTGTATAGCGTAGTAGAGTTCGTATCCACAGGGAAAGGAATAATTCTCTTTTTATGAACTTAATAAATAAAAGGGGGGTTTTGGGTTTGAATGATTTAATTTAATTAAGAACTAAGATGAACAACCTATATGTGTTTAATTCAAAGATAAAAAGGACTTGACATTGCTACTTTCCACTTGTTGATATATTTTAGTCGATCATTGTTATTTCTATAACTTATTCCCTCTCGAATACTCAATCGAGGAGTATATCCAATTCATCGAGGATAGTTATTAACAACGACCGTTCATTAATAACCCTTACTATTAATCAAATATAGAACAACGCCTTATACCGATTTAATAACAGCATTTAATCTTTCTAACTCCTTGATGAAATCAATTGAGATTGATAACCTCAACACAACGGTTTCGGTTTAACCAACAAAATTAATCCCTCTTAAGTTTATTAACCACGACCGTGCATTAATAAACCGAAGTTACTTACTTGTGAAACCATCAACGATTAACCATCGGTTCGTTGATCGTTTTCATCTTAAGTTTATTGCTACTATCAAGTTAATATACGGCGCTTGTTCTATATTGACTCGATAGTAAGTTTTATTAATGAACGCATCTCGTTATTAATAACTACCCTCGATGAACTGGATATACTCCTCGATTGAGTATTCGAGAGGAAGATAGTTAAAGATATAACCGGGATCGACGAACATTTCATTAAGTGGATAAAAGCAAAACCAAGTCCTCATCTCATTGAATTAAACTCATATAGGTTGTTTATCTTAGTGTTGTTAAAACAAACAAATCTAAACCCCCCTTTGTTACTATTTATTTAAAAGAAAAGTATTCCTTTCCCTGTGGATACGAACCTTACTACACTATACTACGTATTAGTGTTGTATTGATTAATTATTTTGAGTGCACCTAACGACAAGTGCACGTCAAATTTGGCGCCGTTGCCGGGGAAAGGCAATTAATTTTTCTTTTATTTCATATCAAGAAAAATAAAAAAAAATATTAAATAAAAAAAAATATAAAGAGTTCTTATTTTTTCTATTTCTGAGCTTAGTGGAGTTTATGGTTAAACATCGCTCCATAAACAAAATCACATACCAAACAAACCCAGAAATAGAACACACTTTCGAGCGGTTGAAAAGTAAATTTTCTAATACCGACTCGGAGGAATCATCTATCAGAGATTCATCCAACGCTAGTTCTCATTCTAGCGAGACCGAAGAGTCAATAACCATGGCTCTTGAGACAAGAACACTATGGGAGCTCACTGCTCCAAATCTCAATCAATAACCATTATGTATTACCTTCCCTACACTCGATGAAGGTAATACATTTGAGCTAAAATCTGGGCTCATACATCTACTGCCATCCTTCCATGGCCTAAGGGGCGAGGACCCCAACAAACATCTCTCGGAATTCCATATTGTCTGCACAAGCATGTGCCCCAATGGAGTCACCGAGGAACAAATCAAATTGAGGGCTTTTCCATTCTCCCTCAAAGACACGGCGAAGGATTGGCTATTCTATCTCCCGTCAGGGAGTATAGATACATGGGCATCAATGAAAAAGTGCTTCCTAGAAAGGTACTACCCTGCATCCGTCTCATCATCTTTGAAAAAATAAATAAGCAACATCGAGCAAAAAGATGATGAGACATTATATGAGTATTGGGAGCGTTTCAAAAAATTGTGTGCTAACTGCCCATATCATGGTTACACAGAGCAAGACCTCATCCTCTACTTCTATGACGGTCTTGCGGAGCAAGA